AATATGGTCATTTGAAAAAAGGATACTCCTTAATATGGTCATTTGAAAAAAGGATACTCCTTAATATGGTCATTTGAAAAAAGGATACCCTTGAATATGGTCATTTGAAAAAAGGATACCCTTGAATATGGTCATTTGAAAAAAGGATACCCTTGAATATGGTCATTTGAAAAAAGGATACTCTTAAATATGGTCAAGGATACCCTTAAATACGTTTATTTGAAAAAAGAATACTCCAGGGTTCGTGCTGAGGTAACCACTTAAAATTCAAGGACTATTCAAGGAGTATACAAGGACCCAAAAATGAATTTTCATGGAGTATGTTCAGCTAACTATGCCAAGGTTTTACACAGTGGTTGCACATGGCCGACTTTCAGATTTTCCAATCTTTCCGACTAGATCTATTTCAGAACCATACAAGCAATGATTGAAGCAAAAATTCAAGGAGTTTTCAAGGAGTTTCGCTAAAATCGTAAAATTCAAGAGCTTTTCAAGAGCCCTTGAAAACGTGAATTAAATTCAAGGTGTTTTCAAGGAGTTTAAGGAGTAGCACGAACCCTGATACTCTTAAATATGGTCAAGGATACCCTTAAATACGGTCATTTGACTCTTAAATACTTGCAGAATACCAGTCAGTATTTTAACGCCTATTTCATCTGTTTACGGCATAATTTATTAAACTATGTAGTTCTCAACTCTTTCTTTTACATTACTTGTTTTTCGTTGATCGCGAAGCCTTCACGATCATGTGGCTCTGTTGAATCGTTACATGAACTGTAAAGCTTTCAAATATGACTTAGTGCCTTCTAACGTGTCGCTGAGACCATCTAATCACAGGTTGCTACTGGCATGGAATTGACGGCCATGTTGTAAAGTGACCGACCCTTTACTCGTAAGCGAGTCTGTGTACGACTTTTATCGTAGTTTCAAGGTAACTAAACGTTTTGAAGCAAGATTTGGGCATTTTAGAACTTCAAGATTCAAATGAAAAAATAATAAAAGTTGGGTCGTTACGAGCTGAAATGTGCGAAAATTTGAACTAACATTCGGTGGGTTCCGAGTTTAAGGGAAAAACTGGGTCGAGTTGGCATTAATGCATTGCATTCCAAGATGGCGTCTATCTTAAAACAGTCCCAAAATGCACTGCAATGATAACTCGACCCAGTTTTTTTCTCAACCTCGGAATGGCTAATTCCAATTGAGACAAAATGGCGTATACAATGTGACACACAAAATGGCGGGAGCTGCTCACATAACTGTTAACACGAATGCTAATGATACAGTATTATTCAACTATGTTATACGCTCATGTGAAATTGAAAAAAAAAAAACAAAAGCATTTTAAGACTGTGTTACCACAGGTATCCCAGTAAGACTATGATATCACAGGTATCCCAGTAAGACTGTGATACCACAGGCATCCCAGTAATTATGTGAAATTTTTCGAATGAAACAGGTATTCACGGTTGGAGTCTCACAGATAACCTCGTTTCTCAAAGTAAACATTTGGTGAGTTTTCAACATGGCTGCCAATACCAAGGCGGTTTAAAATAAGCAACAAAACTACAATAATAGGGAAAGAACGGAGCGTGAATGCAAAGTCAGTTCTTCCATTCGAGGGTAAAGGCGCAATAACACGGAGGAATTTTCTCTGCAACTTGTCTCGCAACGGCGTTACCGCACGAGTTTTATGGAGCATTGCAGCGTGTAGCCTACAGCGCAATTTGAAAAATGTTGCGAGACAAGTTGCAGCATTCGTTGCGAAAAGTATAATTCTTTTCTACTTTTGGCAACRATTGGGTCTTCGTTTAACCCGTGTTGCGACGCGAGTGGCAGAGAAAATCGGGCCAAAAGGTCCAGAAGATAATGGAAGATTATGTCCAATACGACAAAAAGAGGTGAGAGGTAACGCTATAAAGATATTACAACGCGACGAGGAAGTGGTTGAAGACTGAGATGGATAAAAATGCTACAGGAATCAGTAGGGTAATGAACGGAGATGCGTGAAATATGCTTCCGAAGGAAATTTTGAAGTAATCGAATGAATGGTGTACGTTTTTGTGAACTTGCAAGGAAACGGCAAGAATCGTTCGTACATGATTATTTCTATAATCCTTCTTGTAACAAGAAGCAGAGTTGGTCCGGGGAGATGACGTTGCTTATTCCCTTTCTCTCGATTAAAATACGAAATTAAAAACATTTGATTTTTTTTCTCTGAATCTTTTGCGCATGCGTAGTTTAACTACAAATCTAACGAGTGAACGAAGAAAGAAATTATACCGGAAAATAACTAAGACGAAATATATTAACTGGATATCAATGGCAATCCACCGAATATACGACTATCCTAGAAGTCCCAACATGCCCTTCGATGACAGACACACATACAAACATTGACTAGTAAACATTGATAGACCCACCATGTTCTCATCAACCGCGTAAACCTAAAAACCATCATGCAACTCGTTCAACGATGGCACTCGCAAATCATGTTTTCTAACCACCCGCCCTTGCACGAACCTTCATGCCTTTCCACCACGTTACCTCAACAATCCCATCATGCATTACTTTCTTCAACACTAACTGCGCTAACACATCACGTCTCCTGTTAATCATCAGCCGTCGCACGAATATTCATGCCGTTCAACCACGTTACCTCAAACAATCCCATCTGGCATTACTCTCACCTCACCCAAGTAGCCCCAATATTCTTTCCCTTTAAGCGCTTCTCCCTTTTTAACAACACCTAACCTATCTCTCTTTTAAATATGGAATAAGCAGGTCACTAAAACTTAAACAAACGGAGCTACTGGAAATAAATCATAAATTACCAATGAGCAGCCACGATATACAACTACACTGGTCTCAGCAACATTAATAACTTAAATACCATCTACAACAGGCCATTTGCTTTTTTGTTTGGGATATAGCAGGGAGCACTTGGGTCTAGACCACTGCTTAGATCAAGCCCTGCGTGGGTAGTAGTGAAGTGGGGTATGGTTTCTCCATAGGTAGTACCCGGCATTACAGCCATCACCTCAGCTATCTTGGCCTTCAGGTTATCGATATCTCTGTCCTTGCTGGTCACTTGGTTCTGGGCTATCTCCAGCTGGCGGCGAGTTTCACCCAGCGCCGAAAACAAGTCAAGCTTCAGTCTGGTCTCAGAGCTGAGGCTGTTTTCCAAGTGAGTGTTCTTTCCTTGCATGGCGGTCAGAGCGTTCATGAGGATCTCAGTTTCTTTCTTCAGTTGAATACTCTCGAATTCCTTGGTCTTTTGCCTTAGTCTTTCAGTTTCTTTTTCCATGCGTCTATATTCTTCTTCTTTGTCAGACAAGAGCATGCGCAGCTGACGTGTTTCTTCTTCCATTTCTTCGCGCAAGGAGATACAAGCATCATGGCAGTTTGTCGTGTCTTCGCGTTGTTTCTGCGCGGCGCATTCCGCTTTCTGCTTCTTGCGTTCCTCGCGAAGCTGGTTTTCAGCCAACAGACGTGAGTCGCGTTCAGTTTTCAGCTTGCGCTCCAGAGAGGAGATGGTGTTACGATCTTGTTGCCTGATGTTATTTAGCGACTGGATCCTGTAATGTACCATGATAAAAACAGGAAAATTATTATAAGGTTTGTCAATCGAAGGTGGAGGGAGTGCATAAGCTTTCCCCCTAATGGGGCCTCAATTCGCTTGGAAGATTACGAAACAATGGTTTGAAGTCAGCACTAAGCTTGATTCTTTTATTTATCAGTCTCGACTTGAAATCATTGTTTCATGGTCATCCAAGCGAATATTCGGAGAAGTTTCAATTCATGCATCATATGAGAGTAAAGTTTGTTGGGACTTTCCCTTGATTCAAGGGTTTGTTTTGTTCTCATTGGTTTCTTTTGTCTTATTCTATCATATAAGCACCCCTTTCTACCACCTCTTTCTCTTTTACTGCAACGAAGGACTAGCGTCCGAAACGTAAGTARGTTTTTCATCTTTTCACTGTGTAAAATTTACCCTTTTATCATTACTGTTTCATTAGAAACACCGACGCGGCTCACACTAGTTTTTAGCTAATTATCTCTTCTTAAAACCTAACACGCTTTAATTCCAATTCGATCTGTAAGCAGCATATTACGTACTTCTGTTGTAGAGTGTCGTTCTCAGACTTTAGCTGTTGCAGTTCTATCTTAGCAGACCTCTCGTTGGCCATCAGACTGTGCATGTTAGATCGCAATTCATGTTCACACTGACGACTAGTCTGAAGTTCAACTTTAACTCTCCTGATGTCATTCTCAAGTAGAACCACCATGCTCTCAGACTTGCGCCTATAAACGAAAACCAAATTTAAAAAAAAAAACAGTTTAGAAAAATTAGCAAAAGAGTGAGAGCATTCAGAGGAGTCCTTCCCACTTTTCTTGTGTTCTCTAATTTTTAAAAATTATYATTATTATTATTGGTTGTTGTTGTGTGTTTTTTGTCTATAGCGTGTGAGCCGAGAGTTCTGCGTACATAATGTTGAATGAACATCGTTGTCGTCGTCGTTGTCGGAGTAGTAGTACTAGTGGTGTGGTGGTGGAGATATTGGTAGCAATACTATTGGGGTAGTGATAGTAGTAGTGGGGTAGTGGATTAGTGGCAATGGGGTAGTGGTAGTGGTAGTGGTAGTATGAGTCTGTGAGTTAAGAGTTTCTTCACACCCAAAGGAGATTGATACTAATTTCAAAACAACATCTGGTGTAAATTCCTTAATCAAAAGTAACAGCCTGTAATGGGAAGAAGGGAACAGAAAAGTATATACGTCAACGAGTCAAACAGTTACCTTGAAGTTTTTTCGTCTTTTAGCTGCGCCAACAGACTGATAACAGTATCTTGACTCTTCGCATCATGACCCTACAAATAATAAAACGGCTCGTAATTATTTTATATTACTATCAATATACGAGCTATGATATATCATCTCTTTTTATTCATCACTATAATATTAACACTACGCGTCATGTTTCTCCTAAGACCCCCCCGTGTGTTGCCAATCCATGCGTGCGCGTTTTCTATTTCCTAGAACCCATCCTCACGTATACGGATATTTTTGAAAGGGATTTTTTTCTTTTCGGATTCGTCTTCCGTCCACACGTTTCCTGTTAACACGCCCCTTGAAAACGTAACTTTTTGAAAACGGATACGTATGGACGGGCAGAAACGGTTCAAAAACGCTACGTGTGGACGAGATTAATTTTGAAAAAGGAAGAAAAAGATTCCGTTTTCAAAAATATCCGGATACGTGGACGACGCCTTAATGAATGAATACTGGTGATTCTATAGGCAATTTACAGTGCGACTAAACCAACCAAGGCCACTTAGACAAATTTTCGTTCAAATTAGCCAATCACGATTGAGTAATTAAACAATAGAATATGCGCATTTTTTTTACATTTTCCCCTTTAAGATCATATACTTTACTTTACACGAGTCAGAGTGTGTGTATGATTAGGAGAGAACAAAAAACATAACATTATTTCAACAGTTATTCAAAAAAAAAACTTTAATGCCTATCACTATTTTATACCTTTTTTTCACTAACCTTCGGAGAATTGCTTCTACTGCTCTTCCTGCTATTTCCAACAGAATTACTCGAATTACTCAGCGAATCACTATCAGTATCCTCATCCTCCACATCCTCGCACTCCTTCGAATGCCCTCCACCCGCCCGTCCATTGGACATCTTGGACACCGCAGAGCCTTTACCAAATGCCCCGAAACTTGCTGATCGACCGTGACTTCCTTTAGAAGTCTTAGTATGCCCTTCTGAAGGGGATTTATCAAGTTCGTTTAAGTTATGGTCCTCATGTAGTTTCTTGGACCTCAGGTGCGTCAAGGAATCTAGATCTTTGAGAACTGAATTGGTCCCTCTTGCACCTGTGCTGGCTTCCATATCACTTAATCTTAGCCCTCGTATCTTGTTTTCCTTTTCTATCAAGAGTTCAACGTCTGTTTTAGTGTTTATGCCATTTGTCATGATAGGTAAGGATCTGGCTTTTGATGGTGATGAGTCGCCACTGTGTACGCTAGGTTTACCATTACATATTGCTGGGGAAAGAAGAGAAGTGGATTGAACTCAATGCAAGTGAAGGACTGAACAAGGGAATTGGGTGGCTGACTTCTGTTTTTTTTTCTGACTTCTGGGTTTTTTTAGCTTGTAATTGCCAGAAGTCAGTGCAGTGTCATTATTTCTCTATTCGAATATATGTATATTTATTTTATTATCATTGTCTGTAAATATTGTGTACATTAAAAATTAAACCATAGCCAACCCTCTTTAGAATATCAAAAATAAGAATAAAGAGTAATATAAAATTTAAAGTGGAAGTAGACTGGCAGGGGGGGAACTTGGTTGAGTTGACATTGTTTTGTGGAAATAAAAACTGTTGTTGTTGCAGTGCATCAAGGGGGTGTTTGGTGAACAAAATAGACGCTCTCTGGGAAATATATCCCTTAACAGTCCCACAATGCACTGCAATGCCAACTTAACTCAGCTTTAAAATGTACGTATATATACATATATATGATGGATGGTGGATACTAATATATATTTTGTCATGCCTCATTACCTTAAGTATTATGTTTTTCTTTAGACATTATGCTCAAGATACACCGGCAGATACACTAATATGGGGTGGAACTCAAAAAACTCAGTCTTAACCAAAACACTTAGTTAACTTGATAAGGGCTCAATTAGTCCTGTTGCCAAGACTACTAGTTGCCTAGCAACTCGACTGTCAGTTACAGTACTAACCTCTAGAAGTCTTTTCTGTATTGGTTTCTGTACAGTTTGTACTTTCTGTAGGCAGCGCTAGATTTATTAGCTGCATGTAAAACTCATTTTCTTTTGAGACTTGCGTCATTTTCCGCTGCGAAAAATATAAAAAAAAACAACTCCATACTGTTAAAAAATATAATTCCACAAGCTTGGTGGCTTGCCAACCACTAAATTTGAACCATGTATACATACCTGTTTCATCTTATATCCTAAATAGCTTTTGACCCCATAACCAAGCGTCACCACAGGATACCCAATACTAAAAACAAAAAAGCAGCTTAGAATAACATGGATTTATTTTAGGTAGATTACAAGAAGCCAAGACTGAAAGGTATCTGGGAAACGACATAAATTATCCTCAGATATATTTATTTGAAATACAAAGTCAAAATGAAACTTGTTGGAAGTATCATTGCTTTCTGTCAGTGCAACAATTTATGAACATTCTACAAGTTGTCCACCGAAAAAGGACATTTAGACATTTAGACATTTAGACATTTAGACTAAAAGAAATATCACATTTCCTTGAACGTTCTGGCACAAAACACTCTGAAATACCATTCTCCATCTTAAATCCTCACTAAATGGTCAGGGCATTATGGATTTTTGATTCACGAGTTGAATTTYATATTTAAAGTTCAGGCTGACGCACATGAAGCAAAGAATACATGATGAAACACGTGATATATCTTTATAGTCTAAATGTGTAAATATGTAAATTTCAATTTCAGTTTATTTACAGTTTTTTTTCCAATTTTACATAATAGAATTAYAAGAATATATATAGTTGAATAGTATTTAGAATTTTTAATACAATTAACAATATAATAGGTGTAAGTGTACRACAGCCAAAGGAGCTAAAGCTTTCTAGTTGGCTGT